AAATCCAAAACTCATTTGAGTATTCTCTTAATTTCGTTACTTTGTGTTTCCTCAATTGGAAAACCATTTATAATTTTCTTATTAAATTGTTAAATTATATTATTCATGTTTATACGTAATTAGATGTTTATGATTATTGTCCTAACTCAATTTTCCCCATTCATCAACATTAACACTTACTATTTTCCCACTTTTTTATAATAGGGTCAAGACCTCCATCAAAAAGAAGAAAAGTCATGAAGAAATTGCAAAACAAAACCCGCCCAATTAAACAACATGCTGCTCAAAATTATCCAGATTTTGCTATTTTGATAGCTGCTTCCCACTATTAACATCTCAATGTATATACAAACATGTCTACTATTTTAACATAACAAGTAGCATGTAAAATATGTTATTACTTCATTTTTTGCAACTTATACTTTCTTAGTTAAGCATAATGCTACAAGTTAAATCTCATTGTATATATAAACAATCTTATTTTGTCTATGTAATTTCAAAACTTGCAACATCGCGCGGGCTTTTTGCTAGGGTCTTCAAAACCCCAAAGATGTGTGAATTGGAAACCACAAGAAGATGAGGCATTGTGCAAAGGGTGGGTTTCTATCTTTTAAGATGGGGTTATTGGCACGAATCAATCAAACGATTCATTTTGGTTGCATGTGTACCAAAAGTTTTTGGAAAATGATCCGAACATGAGCGGAGCCAGGGTACGATCACCGCAAGCTATTGCTTCTAGGTTCAAAATCATCAACCAACAATGTTATCTATGGAAGGCATGTATGACAAATGCCAATGCAAGGCATGTGAGTGGCTCCAATCTTGAAGATGTGGTGAGTACCCATTTTTTTCAATGCTTAAATTTATAATTATAATTCTTTACAATTATTAACTTGATTTTTATTTTATGTCATGGGTAGGATATGATTGCAAAAATAATTATTGAATGATAGTAAACCTTTGAATAGGCCTTTCAAGTTGTATCATGCTTGGCAAATCTTAAAAGATTGTCAAAATGGAACGACCAATGTGAATCTCCCACACAACCATTCAAAGATTCTTCTCATAGTGGCAATACAGTCAATTTGGAGGAAAATGAAGATGATATGGTCATGCCTACTCCAAAGCCGTTGGGAAGAGATAAGCAGAATGATTAAAAAAAGAAATGGAAAGGTGTTGAAGGTTATGTCAACCAAAGTGGAAATTTCTTGTCTGAATTAGTTCAACAAGGAAATGCGGCAAAGGAGGATATGAGGCGAAAGTTAGAGCTCCTACAAGAGCAACATGCCTATCAAATCCAACAGGATAAGGAGGCCAATGAACAGAGGATAATGTCAATGGATCTATCCAAATTTACTACAAGAAAGAAGAAGTATTGGGGGAATAAGTAAGATGGAATTATTGAAGCCCAGATGAATACAAGTTCCCCCTACAATCCAGAAGACAACTCTAGAGACTATTATCCAAGCCCTCCACATAGTGGTTAATAATTTATGTTTATTTATAATTGTTGTTTATCTTTATTTGTGGTGTTGTACTTGTTTTTATTCTTAAGTTAAATTCTATTATGTTTTGGAATTTTAATTTTTTTAGGTTAAAATGTTTTTAAAATTAAATCACAAATCTTGAAACAAAAATAATGTCAAGAAAAATTAACGAAAAAACAAATTAAGGGTTAATCATTCTTAAACAATTTAATAAAGTTGCGGACTCAAATTATGAGTTTGCAAGGTTGGAGGAAAAAATATTTTGAGTCCTGAAAATACATGAATAGTTGTATTTTGGAGAGTGTAAATTTGAGTTTAGCCCCAACATGGTTGGAGATGGCATTATAAGGTGATGTTGTTTGGTCTAAAAAATGTAGGAGCAACCTACCAAAGGCTAGTCAATCGCATGTTCGCAGAACAAATCGGAAAAGCCATGGAAAAATATGTCGACGATATGTTTGTCAAGAGTGTCACATCCGGGCAACAATTGGAAAACTTATCAAAATATTTTGAAGTGCTTCAAGCCTATAAAAGGAACTCTAACACCACATGGTCTATCTCATTCTCAGATGAAGAAAGATAGGATATATCGTCATTTCGAAATTTATTTAACAAATAAGGATTAGGAACCTCGGTAACATCAAGAAACTCAAGAACCTCCTCGTTAGAACCCTCAATAGACCATCACCCATCAAACAACCCCTCACCATACACGTTGCCAAACCCATCATTAAACCCCTCGTCAGACTCGATAATCAGTGACGGTAGGGGTGGGTATAAAAACCGATGAACCGAATGAACCGACCGAACCAAACCAAACCAAACTGAAAAATAAGGTTTTTTTGACCAAATTGAAAAAGTCAAAGTTGAACCTGACTCGAACCGAAGTCAACGGTTCGGCCCTCAGTTCCAAATTTTTTGAACCGGTGGACCTGAACCGAACCGCCTATTATTTAATTGCATATAAATTTGACACATGGCATGATATTATTGACTAAAAGGAACTTGTACCGTGCGCTTGCTTGCACTAGATTACTCTAACATATTATAAACATCTCCTCTTGACCTAACTCACAGCCAGCCTCCATCTCAATTTATTTTTTTCGCCGCTCTCCATCTCTCAACCTCTCTCATCCTCTGTCGTCTCCCTAGCTCTGAAAGACAAGACTTCTCGTCTCACGAAGTCGACGGCGACGACTCTCTCTCTCGCGCACGACCTCACTCTCTCTATCTCACTCTGTCTTGCTCAACCTCACCCTTTCTCTCTCTGACTCGAGCTCGACCACCTCACCTTCTCTCTCTGTCTCGGCCTGATCCTTCTCTCTCTGGCTCGACAGCACCGGAGACTTTTCATAGAAACGGTAAATTTTAATTTTTTTGGTCAATTTTGTTATGTAAGTTTTAGGTTTTCGTCAATTTTGTTCTGTAAGTTTTGCATTTTTTTTTGTCAATTTTGTATTGGGTTTTCAATTGTATGTGGATCTTAAGTTTTGGTTTCGCATGTGTGAGAGCTGTAGATTTTGGATTGTATATTGGAATTTTTAGGGGTTTTTGAGAGCTGCTGTAGGTGATTTGATCATGAGTAATTCTTGTAGACAGGTCATCGATGGCTTTGGTCCTTCACATTCAAATCAAATGAGCCTGTGTGTGTGCATGCATGATAAAAGTAAGTAACACTTCTTTGCCTATTTGCCTAATTGTCTGTTGGTCGTAAATTATATATTTTTTATCTATGGACTATGAACTTCTGAAAAAGTTATAGGATTGTTACATCCAAAGACTGCATACTGCAGTCTTACTTTCACAGTTTGAGTTCAAGTCTAACAAGAAAGACTTTTTTCAGTAAGCTGATTCTTAATTTCTGGACCCAAGAGTTTTTACAAGAATGTCTCCTACTCTCATCCAGTCTGCCCTCAGAACGGACGCAGGGGCCTTACCTTATGCAATATATAATATTAATTCCATGTTGCAATATATAGACAGCTTAATCTTTGACTCATTCAAATTCTTAGTGGTGTTAAATAAAATAGATTATTATAAATAAACCCAATCCTAGACATGTATTTATAAAAAAACCCACACACTATTTAAACATAGAAACACACCCAAAATCAACCACAAAATCAATAATTGTATATTTTTTGGGTGTGTTTATAAATGGGGTTTGAGTGTGTGTAATGATGGGTTTTGGGTGTGTTTATAAAGTGTTTTGGGTGTTGGGTTTTTTTATAATTTCAGCCCCCATTTTGGGTGTTTTAGTGAAACTCCCTAAATAAAAAGGAAAATCCTAGGATTGCTTAGATTCAGTTTAGAATATATGGGTTTGGGTATGGTTGAAGAGAATGAGTTTAAACTTTAGTTAACTTGTCTTTATTAATTAGATGTTCGCAGACTTTTGCAATGTCCGCAGGTCCTCACTGGTTGCATTGCACTTGATAGCTGTATAGCAGGTCCTCTCTGACTCGAATTTTTGCATGTGTGAGAGCTGTAGGTTTTGGATTGTATATTGGAATTTTTAGGGGTTTTTGAGAGCTGCTGTAGGTGATTTGATCATTTTAGGTCAGTTTTGAGAACCAGTTTGTATTTTAACTATCTTTCATCCCTTGGTTTATAGTTCACCAAAGTCAAATTTACTTTTATAAACTTTTTTATTTGTATGATTCAAACTCTAAAGAGGGGGGATTAAAATGAATATCTACTAAGCTCTAATATGAGATTATATAATTTTGTTGTTTATCTGTTTCTTATTCAAGTAGTTCATGATTTTTGACATGTTCGCTTGTTAAAACTTTGAAGGGTTTTGAAGATAAGCAAACAATTTATTTCCATTTTAACTGAAATTATCTGTTTGGTGATTGATTGTTGACTGATACAAGTGTATTTTTGGACAGATGAATGCAGGTTGCTTTGTTAAGGCTATTGGATGGATGGATGCAGATGTTTTGGAAGGATTTTTGTTATATTTTTGTCATGGGTTGTAATTATAATATTTTTTATGATTGTGTGAATTTGTGATTAATTTAGTAGTTTAGAAACTTAGATTTGAATGAATGATTTTTTTTTATGGATTATACTTGAATTTGGATGATTTCAGCATTTTAAAGAGTAGGAAAAATTAATTTGGGCATGTTAATATTGCTTAGGTTTTGGCAATTTGCCAAAAAAAAAATTCAAAAAGTGATTTGGGCTTTTAAAAAAACTAGTATTGGGCTAAAGCCCAGAACTGACCAAAAAACAAGATCCAAACCAAAGCCTATAGGGTCAGCTCATTTTCGGCTTTGAGTTTAGACCCGACCCGACCCGAGAACCGGTGCCTTACTCGATTTGGCCCACAGGTCGCACAAAGTTAGACCCGATCCGAACCGTGCCCAGGCCTAAGTGACAGACCCAGGAATCTTATCTCATAGGGTCATAGTGTAAAAGTTCAACAACAAAAATTTACGATTAAAATAACATTGAAAATGAAAATATAGTACGTTCATTCATAATTCATGTAAAAAACAACATTACAAATCACAAATGGCCACAACAAAGTTTCATATTTTGAAAACGTAGCATTATAGCTTCATTTTCAATATAATCAAAAACATCCTTCTCAACGTAAATAAGTAAACTATCACTCAACCATTGATATCCCATTTTGTTCTGAAGTGGACCCTTGATAATATTCATGACTGAAAATGCCCTCTCGACTGAAGCAGTTGCAAGCAATAAAACTAAAGCCAACGTAATAAGCAAATACACATAATTGAATGCTCGATGCATCCTTGTCTTCACCAATGTTTTTGCAAGACCACCAATCTCTTGCAATTCAGAGAAATCACTACTCGAACACACATAATGAATATAAAGCTCAAGTTGATCTTCAAGTGCCAAAAGATCCCCATCCGAAAAGTCTTGAGGATAAAATTGAGCAAGACGAAGTAGCTTTTGTTTATCAAAAGCTACAAATGAATCACTCGGACTCAAACATGCCAAACAAATAAGCAACTCAATATTTACCTCATTAAAACGATCATCTAACTCCGTAAGTTGCTCATCAATGACATAAATAAAGAGCTCCACACGATAATGTTGACGATTTGTCTTTATTGGAGCATTACGTCTTGATCTCCCTAGAAGTACGAATGCCTCATTCATATTAGGAACATCAATATGATGTTTGTCACAAAATAAAGATACTTCATCAACCAATACATCAAACCCATTATTCCTCATCCAATGTACATTTTCCTTGCATGATTTCACTAAAGTCATTGCATTCAAAATTTCTTGATCTTTCTTTTACAATGCTTGTGACACATCATTTGTGAGTCCAAATATAGCTTTCATTAAGAATTGGTGAAACACAAACTCAAAAGTAAGCATTTCTCTTTGAATCTTCTTTGCTTTACCGGCACTATCATTGAGATTATCATCAATAATCATTTGAAGTACAAGAATCACAGATGAAAACATAGAAATGATGCTAATAATGGTACCGTAATGTGAGTTCCATCGCTTGTCACCGGCACATTTGAGACTTGTTTCTTAATTCAAACCTCACCCCGTTATAAGACAATCATTTTCAAAAGCTATCACAAGCTCTTCTTAGAGTTGCGCTCTAAGTGCATCACGCCGCTTACAAGATGCTCCAACATTATTAGTGGTTGTGAAGAAAGAGGCAATATCAATATTCTTCTTTGCCACGACAACAAGTGCTAGTTGAATTTGATAAGCAAAGCAATGAACATAATATGCGCAAGGTTGTTCTCTCAAAATCTTTGTTTTAAGGTCATTCACCTCACCTTGCATATTGCTAGCTCCATCATAACCTTGTCCTTGTAGCTTGAAAAAGCTCAACCCGTTGAAAGAAAAGAATGTGTCAATGGCATCCTTTAGTGAACTTGAAGTGGTGTCGGTAAA